CTGAATTCTTATTGTCATGGAATTTTCTTACTAGTCATGAATTCCTTGTTTTTGTTTTTTGTCTTTTTGAAACAGGGTCTCCCTGTGGCCCCAGTTGTCCTAGAACTCGCTATGTAGACCAGGCTGGCCTTGAACTCACAGAGATCTGACACCTCAGCCTCGCAAGTGCTGGGATTAAAGGCATGCACCACCATGCCCAGCACAAGTCATGAATTCTTGTCTTCCTCAACCATTATCAATGTGAAAATTGTCCACAGTTCAGGCTCAGTATTGGCTGTGAGTGGCCATGTGCTGGGCTCTGCAGTTCCACAGTTAGGAGAGCAGAGGCAGGTTCTGGAAGCTCCAAATAAGTAACTGCCCAGCATTAGCTGCTGACAGTGGAATTTCAAACCCTCAAATCCTGGCAGGCTCACAGGTGCTTCTGCAGAAACCGTGCACTGCCTGGGGTTTCTCTTTAGCAAACACTGTAGAGCTGGTACTTCAAGGTTTACTCGTTTTCAAGCTTTGCACTGTCCTTCTGGAGCCCCTCTACCTTCTTCCCCAGAATGGAGCACTCAGTAAAATACTGGTCAGGACTGGAGATGGCTCAGTCGTTAAGTGTGTACTGCTCTTGCAGAGGACCCAAGTTTAGTTCACAGCGCCCACCATGAGTGGCTCACAACCACCTGAACCTCAGCTCCACAGGATTCAGTACCCCATTCTAGCCTTAAGGGCACTTGTTCACACACACACACACACACACACACACACACACACACAGAATTAAAAGTAAAGTCAGGCGTGGTAGCAGACCCCTAACATCTTATTATCAGCACTAGAGTCTTATTATCTATCAGCACTAGAGTCAGAGGCAGGCAGATGGATCTCTGTGAGTTCCAGGCCAACAAGTGCTACAAACAGTGAGGCATGGTGGCGCACACCTTTAGTCCCAGCCCTTGGGAGGCAGAGGCAGAGGATCTCAGAGAGTTCAAGGCCAACCTGGTCTACATAGTGCGTTCCAGGCCAGCTGGAGCACCAGGGACTCTTGTCTCAAAA